GTTTATGGTGTTTTGTGTTGCTTCTGATGTTTTTATATAGTCAATTAGGTTAGTCTTTTCTTCTGTGGTTACTGTCTCTGGTTTTGTGCTTAGAAAGTCCTTTCCCACTTGAAAATGAGATAAATGTTCACATGTGTTGGCTTCTAGTCTCTTTTATGGCTTCATTTTTTCCATTTACTGTAGAGGTTAAAAGTGTGGGTACTGGAGCCAGACTGTCTGGGACAAACCCAGACTCACCCCAAGCCATTTGTATGATTTTTAGCCAGGTATTTAAACTCTCTGTACTTCCATTTCCTCATATGTACTGTGATGGTTATAATAGCACCTACCTCAAAGCTGGTTGTGAGGATTAAATCTATTAACCATGTTAAGTGCTTAGCATGGGGCCTGGCATACAATAAACTCAAGATCAATATTAGATATTATTACTTACCTCTTTAATGGATCTGGAATTTATTTTAGGGTATATGGTGATGGTGACATTTCAAACTGGGCAGGGAGGGGTTAGTGGGAAAATAGACTGATTATTCATTCAATAAATTTATTTTTCCCTTAATTATCCCAGAAACATTTGTTAAACAATATATTTGTTAAACAGTCTATCCTTCACAGTCCCCCAATTTGAAATGCCACAGTCATCACAAACGTGTTTGAGCTTTCTATTCTGTTCTCTTCCTCAGTGTCTGCTCTTGTACCAGGTCCACACTGCCTTGCTGACTGTTGCATCAGTTCTTCCAGCCAGAGGCCAGCAACTGTTCTTATTTGGGGCATCTCTCTCTCTCTCTCTCTCTCTCTCTCTCTCTCTCTCTCTCTCTCTCTCTCTATCTATCTATCTATCTCTATCTCTATCTCTATCTCTCCATATATATATGGAGAATATATATATATATATATATATCCATATCCATATCCATATCCTATAGATCCTACACACACACACTCTGTCTCTCCTTCTCTCAGTGTCTCCCACTTGTCTCTCTTGTTCTTTTTGTCTCTCACTCTGTCTATCCCTGTCCCACCTCATGTCTCTCCCATCTCTCTCTGTATCTCTTGTTCTCTGTGTCTCTCTCTTCCCCTATGTCTGCCTATCATTGTTTCCGTCTCTCTTTGTCTCTATATATCCTTATCTCTCAGTCCCCTGGATAGAGGGGCAGTTGTCGACTTGAAGCCCTGCAGACACCTAACAACAACTCACCCTGACACAGAACAGAAGGGCCCTGGCCCTCATCTAGTTCACACATCTCCCCTTCCCAGTGTACAAGAGGAGCAAATTGAGGCCCAGAGGTGGGCGAGAGGGCATCTCCCAAGGCTCACAGAGATGTAGTGGCAGAGTTGAGATCCAAGCTCAGATCTCAGGACTCTTGTTGGGACCCTGACTTTATCCCTCTCCCCCACTTTGGGCCTCAGTTTACCTCTAAGCACGCATGGGGAGGCAAGGGTACCTGGGCTGCCCTCCAGCTGCAGCCATTCCCCTTCTGCCTTCTCACAGGTGGGACCCTGTCTAAGGCAGCAGGATCTGCAGTCACAGTGTGGGGGTCAGCCTCCCAGGAGCTAGTCTGAGTGGTGTCCCGGAGCCCCATGGGTCAGGAGGCTTCATGGCCAGAGAGTGGTGATACTGGAGGGACATCAGTCAGTCTCTCTGTGGGTCTGCCTGTGGACAGAGCTCAGCTGTGTTCCCAGAGTTGTCACTGGTCCCTGGGAACCTCCATCTCAGGGCCTCTCCAGGGAGCCTGGCGGTGGGATCTCTACTGGCAAAGGCCAGGGCTTTTCCAGCTCCTAGCCCGTGAGGCCCTCCTCTTGCTTGCCTCCCCATCTCTGGCAAAGTGGCTGTGAGTCTGGGAACATCTTCCTAGAATGGACAGGGCAACTGAGGCCCTGCAGGTGTCCACTTCGCCAATCATTGACATTTTGCTAAGCGTTTCATATGCATTAACTTTGGAAGATGGGTACTGTTATTGTCCCGATTTACATATGAGCCTGAGAAGAGTCACAGCTAGTTAGTGGCAGAGCCTTCCTGGCTCCAGGCTGGGAAAAATAGAGGGGGTAATTCTGACCTTCCTGCCTTCACAGAACTTAGGAGAGAGACCGAGAGGAGGCTTGCTGCAATTCCAGGCCTGGTAGGTGGGTGGCCTGATGAAGTACCAAGCTTTCTGTCCTTTGGGGAGTTCCAGTAAGTTTGGACACCAGAGATATTGGCCTTTACAAACTGTGAAGTTGGACCCATGGACCTCACAGAATGTGTGGGTTTGAGATTCTGAGATTCTTTGAATCAAAGAAATAATGTTCTATGATTCTGAGCTTCTGGTGTAGTACCATTTGAAGACCCTGAGGGTCCCAGTATCTGTGGGGTCTACATGGCAGTCCCCAAGCATCAAACCTTGGGCCTCTCCATTACCAAAGAAGGGCCAAGTCTACAGGGCCCAGGGCCTGTCATGGTGGCCAGATGGACGTCACTCACCACATCCGCCAACACCCACATCACCCCACCTGGGCCAAGCAGGCTACAGGATGGGCCAGCCAATTCTCGGAACGAAACCTGTGGGGTGGAGTGTCTGCCCCCTTCTCTTCCTCCTTGGTGCCGATGAAGCCCAGCGCATCCGGCCGCCATGACGTCAATGGCGGAAAAGTCTGGGGAAGTCAGAGGCTGTGACAACAGGGCCCAGATGCAGACCCCGATATGAAAACATAATCTGTGTCCCAGAAACATCCTCCATGCATCTTCTGAGAAATAGTCAGAAAGGGACGCCCCAACAGACAGTGCAGGAAGCTGGCTGCCCAGCCCGGCCCTCCAGTACCCCACCACCAGACAGACCATATCCATACCCACTTTCTGAGAATATACCTGTGCTTCCCTGAGTCAGGCGATTCCAGATGTGTTTGGGGAGGAGATTTCTTATGAACTCTGGTCAAGTGTCCAGGCAGCATCAGAAGTGTCCACAGGCCAGCTGTGTGGGCCAAGCTAGAGTAGTGGAAACCATCCAAACATCCACTCACTCACTAAAATTGGTATTAGTTTGCTCAGGATTCTGTAACAAAATATCACAAACTGGGTGGCTTAAACACCAGAAATTTATTCTCTCAGTTCTGGAGGCCAAAAGTCCAACATGAAGGTGATGGCAGGGTTGGCTCCTTCTAGGGCTGTGAGGGAGAATCTGTTCGTGCCTCTCTCCTAGTTTATCATGGTTTGCTGGCAAACTCTGGCATTCCTTGGCTTGTCGAAGCGTCACCCTGATCTCTGCCTTCATTTATTCACTACTTCATTCACTCACCTCCTCATGGTCACCAACGTTCTCTTAGGCCCTTGTTCTGAGCCTCCATAGACCCAGGCTCCTGATTCTCACACAGTAATGTTCTAACCTCCAGGGAGTCCAAGGGTTGAATACCTGGATTCTCACCCCACCTCCCTCAGCACTACAGCTCTGACAACCCCCATGGGCTGACAGCAAAGAAAGGAATAAACTGCTCCCCCAAACCCTCCTTGTACTCCCTCGGGCTGTTCTCGGCAGCTATGTGCCCAACCTGGTGCTGTGGAGTTGGGGGGAAGGGGCAGACACACACACACACACACACACACAGGGCCCCACAGCAGGGGGCTTGTGACAGGTGCACACGTGCACACTTTTTGGAGAAAGAAGTAGAGCTCTCAAGTTGTGATGGGACTGTGGAACACTGCACCTGGGTGTCCCCTTCAGTAAAATGGAGGTTGGACTAGGCAGTCCGTTCCAGCTCTAGCTTCCTCTCAGACTGGGATTACAGGAGTCTAAGAAACCAAGGCTCGCCCATTGGAGAGTGTAAGATTTCTGGAGCTGTTATGGAAGGCTTTCTGGATTGGCCTTGGATAGAAGAGCAGGAATTCCAGATGGGCTAAACCGCATGAACAAAGGCTTGGAGGCAGGTTGAGGGTAAACTCTGGTGGGGGCTGAGTCGAGGAGCTCCCATAGACTCAAGAGAATCTGTCTCTCCTCCTTTCTGGCACCTGCCATGGCAGCTCCATGCAAGGCAGAGCTCAGAGATGACTATACCCTGCCCTGCCTGAGCTCCAGACTCCTGTACTCAGCTGCCCACTCAGCATTTCCACTCATAATGTCTAATGCCAGACTCTTCATATCCATCCACACCCCTCACCCTGCTCCCCGCATCTCCCCATCTCAGGTCACGTAAGCTGTGTCCTTCCAGATGCTCAGGCTAATACCCAAAAGTCCCTCCCTCTCTCACCCCCACATCCAAGCTGCCAGCAAATTCTCCTGACTCCACCTTCCAAACATGCTCGGAATCCATCCACTTCTCACCATCTCCACTGCCACCATCCTGATCTGTGCCACCATCATCAATTACTTGGACTTTTGCAGTAGCGTCCTCACTAGTCCCCTGCTTCTGCCCTCACCTTCCTAGAGCCTTTCCCTTTCATAGCAGCCAGAGGGATCTTTTCACTCCATGCCCCCCACCACTCCTAGATATGCCCAAATCACTGGGGTAAAATAATGCTCCCAGGAGGAAATCAGAGACCAGCCCCAGCGGGATCAGCAAAGATTGTGTGGATTGTGCCTGGTGCAGGGAGGATGGGAGCGCTGAGGCCTGAAGACAAGCCACAAGGGCCGGCTCAGTGGCACGTTGATTAAGAGCTGGCTTGGGATGCCAGCTCTGAGCAGCAGGGCCCTGGTTCGGATCCCATATGGGGCCAGTGACACTGCCCACTACAACTAAGATGGTGAACAACAGCTCGACCTGGAGCTGGGCTGCCGTGAGCCCCTGCTGCAGTGGGTTGCCATAAGCTACCGTGTGTGGCCGGCAGCCAGCGTGAGTGGCCAGCAGTCAGTGTGAGCTGCCAAGAGCTGCCATGAGCGGCCGTCCAGAGGCTGGCGACCGATCTGCCTCACCCAGGAAGAGCACAATGATAATACCAACATGGGCCAGTGAAGCAACGTCCTCCACAACTAGACTGAAGAACAAAAAAAGGACAGCAACTTGTCTGTTCCCCTTCCCCCGATTCCCCAGCACTGTTGCCCTCCCCCAATTCCCCCAATACAATCTTTAAAAAAAAAAAAGACAAGCCTTAAGAGGTGAGAGAAAGAGCTGAGACTTACCCTGGCTGAGGCTCTACAAACCACCCTGTACCCCCCACCACCCTCTGGAGGACACATCCCCACCGGAGCTATGCCAGCATGCACAGGCAAGACATGTGCTGGACCATACAAGTCTGCACATGGGGCATGCGTAAAGACACACATACACACTCCTGTGTTCCTGAAGTCAGTGTGTGTGTATGTGTGTGTGTGTGTGTGTGTATGTATATGTGCACATACACATATGACCAGGTGACCAGAGCTGGGATCCAGCTGTGTGTGGGGCCCTTCGGGACGTACGCCAGCCAATGCCTGCTCCGACCACAGGGAATGTCCACGTGGTTCAGGTGGTTGAGTATTTTGCACCCCCTTCAGCACATGTATAATTCCTTCCCCCTATGTATCCACAGCCTGCCCTCGGACAAGGACCCAATGCCCAACCCCAGGCCAGCCAAGCCTTCAGCCCCTTCCTTGGTGCTCAGCCCATCTCCAGGAGCCTCTGCCAGCTGGAGGGCTGCACCCAAATCCTCAGACCTGCTGGGGACCAAGGGCCCGGGGGCAACCTTCCAGGGCCGGGACCTCCGAGGTGGGACCCATGCCTCCTCCTCCTCCTTGAACCCCATGCCACCATCACAGCTGCAGGTGAGGCCCAGGGCTCAGGATGGGGCAAGCAGGGTGGGGTACCTGGGCCTACAGGTGCCGACCTTTACTGTGGCACTGGGCGGGGGGCCCAGCTGGGGCACAGGAAGTGGTTTTCTGGGTCCCAGGCAAGTCTGTGACTTATGCAGATCTCACAGGGCCAAGAAAGTCCCCACTTAGCAGGTCTCAGAGATTCAAGGCTCTCCCCGACCTCCCAATCCATCTCAGGAGAGGAGACCCTATCATAGTCCTACAGGCACATCCTTGTGTCTCCATCCTCATGTGACAGAGGAGAGGCCTGAGTCTCAAGGTGAGGTGACAGGGTTGAGGCCAGCTCTGGCACTTATTAGCGGTTTCATCTTAAGTCGCTCAATCTCCCTGAGTCTCAGGTTCTACATATGTATAAAGGGGATGGTCATAGTTCCTACCACGTGAGGTTGTGGTGAGGAGTATATAAATTAGACATGTACAACAGTGAGGGTGAAGATGGCCTCTCAGCTGCCTTGCCTTTGTCCCCCAGCTGCCCACAGTGCCCCTCGTCATGGTGGCACCCTCTGGAGCACGGCTGGGTCCCTCACCCCACTTGCAGGCACTCCTCCAGGACAGACCACACTTCATGCACCAGGTACCGACCCTGACCAGGCAGGGAGGAGGGAGCAGGTGGGGAAACAGGAGGGGAACAGGCTGAACCATGGCCCATATGTGCCCCCAGCTCTCCACAGTGGATGCCCATTCCCGGACCCCTGTGCTACAGGTGCGCCCACTGGACAGCCCAGCTATGATCAGCCTCCCACCACCCACCGCTGCCACCGGGGTCTTCTCCCTCAAGGCCCGACCCGGCATGCCACCTGGTAACACCACACCCCGATGCTCCACAGAACCCCAGAGCCCCCAAGTCCTTGAACATGAGCAGTGTAGGCTACTGAATCGTGGCCCTGAGGTCAGAGGTGTCAGGTTTTATCATTTTGGAAACTCCAACCTCCAAAAAATGTCAGGTGCAGAACCTGAAAGATGCAGAATGTCAAAATCACAGAACCACAGATCTTTGCAAAGTTAGTCAAAATGTCAGCACTTGCAAATGGCAGTCTTTGAGCTGCTCTACCAGAAGCCTTGGATGTTAGGGACACCAGCGCTCCCTGGGAGTCAGGGCCTGTGAGGCTTAGGAGGGTGGGCAACTCAAAAAGAGAGGCCTTGCGGGCCAAGCTCCAGGGCCCAGCCTGCAGTCCCCAGAGGTGCCCTGTCCTCACCTGCAGGGATCAACGTGGCCAGCCTGGAGTGGGTGTCCAGGGAACCAACACTGCTCTGCACCTTCCCAAGCCCCAGTGCACCCAGGAAAGACAGGTCAGTGGGCAGGACTGGGAAGGACCCTTGTCCTGCCATTCCCTTCCCTGACACCCTCTGTCCTCCCAGCACCCTTTCGACCATGCCCCAGGGCTCCTACTCACTGCTGGCAAATGGCATCTGCAAGTGGCCCGGATGTGAGAAGGTCTTCGAGGAGCCAGAGGACTTTCTCAAGTAAGTAGCCCATGCCTATTCCAGTCCAGGGGGTTCCCCAGTTTGTGGGAGGAGGTCTAGGGTGCAGGTCTCAGCTCAGGCCTCATCCTGATAGGTAGTAAGATGAATGAGACAAAAGCTGAGATTATGGGTTCAAATCCAGACTATCATTCACTGGCTGTATAACCTTGGGCAGGTTACTTAGCTTCTCTGGGCCTCCGTTTTTCTCATCTGTATATGGGGCATAATAGTGTGTACTATTATTTACCTCCATTTTACAGATGAAGAAACTGAGGCCAAAGAGGCTAAGTGTCTTGATCAAGATTACCCATTTCCTAAGTGACAGAACTGTAATTCGAACCCAGGCATCCAGGCTCCAGAATCCACACTCCTAAATGCTTTGCCCTGCTACTCCTCATGCCAACATACCAGCCTGATTTTACTGATCCCCAAAGTCCCTGTACCTCACAATAGATGTTGCTGCCTCCCCTAGGCCCCATCCCTCTCTCTCTCTCTCTCTCTCTCACACACACACACACACACACACACTTTCTCCAACCCTACCCAACTGTCAGCAGTAATTCAATGCATCCTGTCCTCTTCACTACCAGGCCTTCCCTCCATGTGAAATGTGTTTCCTGCTCTCACCTACCTGGCTGCTCCCAGCTCACCACCCTTCCAAAATCATCTCTAACACCTTGGCTCAAGAGGCAAGCTCAGGCCTGGCACACAGTAGATGCCAAGTAGCATGTGTTGAAGGAATGACGGGTGTGAGAGGGAGATGGGGGGTGGCAGTGCTGAGACTCTGAGACGAGACCTCCCATAGAGTCTAAGCCCTCCCCACTTAGAACATTGAACCAGAAAGCCAGGCATGCCATGGTCACCTACATAGCATCTTCCCCCTCCCCAGGCACTGCCAGGCGGACCATCTCCTGGATGAGAAGGGCAGAGCGCAGTGTCTCCTCCAGAGGGAGGTGGTGCAGTCTCTGGAGCAGCAGGTGATGTGGGGCAGGGGCTATGGTGGGGGGGATGATGGGTGAAACGTGTGTCCTCCCTATCTATGCCAGGAGCCAAGGTCATCCAGGATGGGGGCTGGCAAAAAGGAAGGGAGGGAGGGAGGGAGGGAGGGAAGAAGCAAGGAAGGAAGGAAGGATGGAAGGGAGGAAGGAAGAAAGGGAGGGAGGGAGGGAGGGAAGAAGCAAGGAAGCAAGGAAGGAAGGAAGAAGGAAGGAATGATGGAAGGAAGGAGGGAGGGAAGGAAGGAAGAAAGGGAGGGAGGGAGGGAGGGAAGAAGCAAGGAAGGAAGAAGGAAGGAAGGAAGGATGGAAGGAAGGAAGGAAGGATGGATGGAAGGAAGGAAGGAAGGAAGGAAGAAAGGGAGGGAGGGAGGGAGGGCACTCCCAGAGAAGACCATAGTCTGGGCAAAGATGTGGTGGGGGAGACCTGGTTGAGGCCTCACTTTGTGCCTGTTCTCACAGCTGGTGCTGGAGAAGGAGAAGCTGGGTGCTATGCAGGCCCACCTGGCTGGGAAGATGGCCCTGACCAAGGCTCCATCCGCGGTGAGCCACCCTAGGACTGACAGCAGCACAGACTGCTGAGGGGCCAGGGAACGGGCTCTGCAATGTGCAGGGTACCTATCCTCACACCCAGGCCCTGGGATCTATGGGCCCTGTCACCAGCTCCAAACATCCCCAGACCTGAGGATCTGTCCCCCTCCACTTACAAACCCTCTGACCCTGAGCTCTCAAAACATTTTTCAAAGCAACAGCAAATAGCTAGAAACTTACTGAATGCAGACCACGTGCAGCTGGCAGGACTGGCTATACAACTCGCCAGGCCCAGGGCAAAATGAAAATGCAGGGCTCACATTTCAAGATGACCACCACAGAACATTGAACAAAGTGCAGGGGCCTGTGCAGCTGTACAGGTCACACACCCAAGAGGCAGGCGCTGCTTCCGAGGACTTTGCTGGTGTGAACTGATTCAATCTTCATGATGGCATCCCTAATCCACAGATGAGGAAACTTGAGGCCAGGGAGGCTTAAGCAACTCTCCCAAGGTCACAGTGGGGTACTGCAGGAGCCTGCTTCAACCCCAGCTCGCAGCCCCAGCATTGGTGCACTGCACACACTAGTGTCCACACTGCACTCTGATAAACATGACTTGTGCTACTTTGTGGGAGTCCATGTCACACTGGAGTTGAGAAGAGGGTGCCCTTGCTTTTAAAACCACTTACTTATTTAAAATTAAAGTGGAAACTTTTAGTCTCTGTGTCACCAGCCTCTCCCTCCTCCCCCAGGTGTCATCTGACAAGGGCTCCTGCTGCATTGTAGCCTCTGGCACCCCAGGCACCACCGTCCCAGCTTGGTCTGGCCCCCAGGAGGGCCCCGATGGCCTGTTTGCTGTGCGGAGGCAACTCTGGGGCAGCCATGGACACAATACATTCCCAGGTAAGGATGGTCTGTGCCCTACATGGTGCCCCCTCTCCCCGGGCTCCTAATCCCCAAACTAGCATTGGGGGGGGGGTGGAAAGCAGCTCCATGCTGCTCTTCCCCATCACCACCACCCGCCTTTGGGAAAACACATCTGCGTGCAAAAGCTTCCTCTCAGGGTTTCAGTGGACTGCACGACCCCATTATGGTCTCAGATATCTAGCCCTGTCTCCCCTGGGGGTTGGGGCTCACTGACTATGCTAGGGATTGGGGTTTCAGCTATTCCACTTGTCATCAAAAGGGAGGGAACTAGCTATGTAACTCCCAGAGACTATCCCTCTCCCCCCAAGGGAAAGTGGGGTGATTAGCCCAAACTCACCAATCCCCTACTACCTGAAAGGTTTGGGCTGTAGGTCTAACAGGGATCTGGGCTCTGCCACTTAACCAGTTACATCCCTTTAGTGTACAAGTTATTTCCCTCCTTTTAAACGTCGGGGAAAATAAGCCCTAATTTGGTGGGAGTGGTGCAAAGAGTAAATGATACAAGTTATGTCAAGTGTTCAGCAAACAGTAATTGTTATGAAGGAAAGAGTGGAGGGTGAGAGAGGGAGTGAGGAGTTCCAGATGGGACCTGACTCTACTTCCCACCCACCCCCAATAGAGTTCTTCCACAACATGGACTACTTCAAGTTCCACAACATGCGACCCCCTTTCACCTATGCCACCCTCATCCGCTGGGTAAGCTGGGCAGCTCAGGCCAAGGAGAAGGAAGAGAAAGAGGGGGTGGGGACCTGCCTCCCAAACTCCTGACCTCCCTCTAAGAACCCCCAGGGTAGGCTCCTCCATGAAGAAACCCATGCCTCACATGTGATCCCCCATGTTGGCTTCACCCCAGACCTGCCCCCAAACTCAAACCTAAACCACCATCCAGGCCAAATTCTGGCCCTAAACCCACCCCTTTCCTCAGGTCCACCTCAACCCCATACCTAACCCCCTTCCGGACTTATATAATCACCCAAAAACTAGCCTGATCTCTGCCCCTTCCTTGCCCTAAACCCTCCCCAGGTATTACCCTAACTCCTTCCCCAGAACCAACGTACCCCAGTATATAAACACATCCCCTGTCTGGACCCCATCCCTAACCCCTCCCTTGTAATACCTATCTGACCCTTAACCTCAACCCATCCCAACCCCTTCATCTGAATCTCCCTAATGCCTTCCCAGAACCTTCAGAAGAGCCCACTCGGACTTTCATCCTAGATCCACACCTAACACCAAACCTGAACCTTAACCTAACCCCCTACACAATGCCACGCAGTTGCCTACCTGGCCCCATCGTGACCTGAAACCTCACTGCAGGTGTAATCGCTGCCCCTTGATTTAATCCCATTCCTAACTCCAAACAGATCAAATTCCCTGACCCTTAGCCTCACTCCACACCTAACCCCTGCCCTGCTCCTTAACGGCTATACACAACTAACCTCAACTTCAGCACAACTAGCCTCATTCTTGACTCTGAACCTAACCACATTCCTGACCCATAAAATTACTAGATAACTAGGCCCACCTCTGACTCCTGACCTAATGCCACATGTCATCCTGTCCCATGCCCCTTGAATCTCCCCAGTCCATCCCCAGCCTGAGCTTTAACCAACCCCTTCCCTGACCTTTAGCTCTGGCAGGCCCTTTACCCCTTCCAAATCCTTAACTTGACCCCACTCCTGGCCCTTAACCTTCCAAACTCTGAAACCTCACCCCTACAGAGAACCCCCTACTCCAATTCCATCCCAGACCTTTAACCTAACTCCAGACCTAACCCTGAACTGGACTCCACTCCAACCTCAACCCTGATCCTTTACCTAACCCCATCCTGGCTCACCCTCACCCCACTTCTAACCCTGTCTCTGATCTGTCACCTCACACCATCTCCCTTCCCCTACCCCCACAGTTCTACCCCATGTCAGATGACCCAGGGTGGGCCACTACCCCTCTCGGCCCAACTTTAGGGGAGCGGCTCCCCTTATCCCCACACCTCCTAACTTCCAGGCCATCCTGGAGGCTCCTGAGAAGCAGCGAACACTTAATGAGATCTATCACTGGTTCACACGCATGTTCGCCTTCTTTAGAAACCACCCTGCCACCTGGAAGGTAAGTGCCTCTGGAGGTGGCAGTGGCTGGGGTGGCCTCAAATGCTACCTCAGTGTTGGGCCAACCTGGGCGGGCCTGGGCCTGGGCTTGCAAACATGATGGGAAAGGGCAGGCCGTTGGTTTTGGGTGGGGATGGCTGACCTCAGAGGATGACTGCCTGCCCGCTCCCCTCACCCTGGCCTGGCTGGCTGGTCCTCCTTCACAGAATGCCATCCGTCACAACCTGAGCCTGCACAAGTGCTTCGTACGGGTGGAGAGCGAGAAGGGAGCTGTGTGGACCGTGGATGAGTTTGAGTTCCGTAAGAAGAGGAGCCAGAGGCCCAGCAGGTGTTCCAACCCTATACCCGGCCCCTGACCTCAAAACCAAGGAAAGGAGGAAGGAAGGACAGGGGCCAAAATGTGAGGCAGAAATGGCCGGGGGCAGGGATGACAGGCCCTGGACATGCCCGCAGGGACCAAGAAGTGAGGTGTGCACTGTCTTGCCTGCCAGGGACACTGCTCCCCACTGAGTCACTCCCCTAGATCATATGCTCTCTACCAAGGCTGCTCAGAGGGGCCCCAGCCCTGTACCCCCGCCCCGGCCCCAGTGACAGGCTCTCCAGGCAAACTGAGCCTTCACAATCAACCACACACACAGCCTACACCAGTGATTCACAGACAACCTCAGGCTGGAAAAGACACACACATGGTCATGATCCTGTCCCTTGGACTCCACACAAACTCCCCAAATACAAAGAGCCTATCAGTTCACTCAGACAACCTCAAATCTTCACAGTCACACAGACAATCACGCCTGAGTAGTAGTGTCAATCCACATCCCCAAAGGACACCCCCACAGCCAGCCTCTTGGCCCCCAGGTGCAGTGTCACATGGGGTATGCCCAGACATCCACACAGAAGCAGCCTTAGTGCCTTCAGGGTATCAAGTCCCGGAAAGCCACACAGAGACATACTGGTCACATATATATGGTCTCATATAGCTCCTGTCACATATGTTTGGTCACACAGTCCATTATAACTCACTTGCACACCACGCGCACACACACACATCCATACAGCACCCCAGTGTGTCTCCTGAGTCCCACGCAGACAAGCACGGCCACACATACTGACTCACCAAAACTTACCCTGTGTCTCACTGGCCACCCACCCCCTGCCCCACCCTAAGCCCTGTGCCCCCATCTATGCCTCCATGCCTCAGCTTAAACGGCAGACAGAGCCCCTCATTTATTTGGGATCCAAGGCCCAACCCCCAATGCCCTCCCCAATAAACTGCAGCCGTGTTCCCACACTCTGGACAATCACCCAGAAAAGGGTTGGGGTCAGATGGGCAGGGGTCACCACAGCAGGAGGGACTGGACAGCAAATACAGGGAATGGCTAGGGCAAGTACTTGGCCATCGCCTCCAAGACCCCAAATCCCTGCTGAAGCCCAGGGTGGGGGAGACCTCCGCTGGGGCCTCCCCTCAGGCCTCACGGACCCGCCCCAGGAGGCCAGCGTTCTCCTGGCGAAGGGCCCGGTAGTCCTCGCGGATCTTCTCCAGGTTGCTGAGGGTCTTCTTTCCCATTTCCGTCTCAATCTAGGCAACATGAATCGCATCCCTTCAGCACACAGGGCCCCTTTCCCAGCTCCTGCTCACCACCCCCTCTGTTACAGCCACTCAGGGCCCTTCCCAGGCTCCTCCCACCACCGCCCCCAACAATGGCCTGCTCTGTCCCACTGCCAGACTTTTGCACGAGTTGTCACTGCACCTAAAGCATCATTTGCTATGTGGCAGGATTGCCCACCACATACTCAAGCTGTAGCTTCTGCCAACGGCCCGGGAGGCAAGTGTGCGGACCCTTAGGGCAGAAGTTGGAGCTCAAAGTAGACCGCTGGCCTGTCGCAGGTCACGTGCAGGGCAGAGACAATAAGCTGTGTCTGGTTCCATAGCCTGTCTTGGCACAAACTGAAGGGCTGTCCCTTGGCCTGCCTTGGTTTCCCCTCCCACCCCCAGACCTCACCTGCTCCTCAAGGTCTCGAACCTCCCGCATGATGGTGCCTGTGTCCTCAATGGTCTGGATAAGTTGGCTGCAGTTCTGAGAACAGCAGGAACAGAAGGCTTGCAACCCAACCCAGCCACGGCCCAGCCAGACCCCTAAGGCACTTCTCCCCTTACCTCATGCAAGGCAGCTAGATACTTGTAGGCCTTCCGAACAGCATCATCCTTCTTGGCATCCTGACCAGACAGAAAGGACCTCAAAGGTATCAGTGAGCTGCCCCCACTCTACCCGCTACACACCGCCTCCGGGACCACACAAGGCCACCGTCTCCCAGCCCCATGTCTTCATTCTTCACAGAGCAAAGCCAGGCCTGAGCATCAGTGTAACTACAAGGCTCACAAAGGGCCCAGGCCTAAGCCAGCCCGTGAGCAGATGGGCAGGCAGCAGCCCAGCCCCACACCACCCCTCCACCCGGCCCAGCCTGTCCCACACCTTGAACACAAGCTCATCAGTCACTGCAAACGTCCGGTCCAGCTTCCCAGACAGGGAGTTGATTTCCTTCTGAAGCTCCTTCGTGTCAGACAAGATCTGGCAAAGAACAGGGTGGCCATGAGCCCCTTGTGTCGGGTGGGGCAGCCAGCCAGCTGAGGGCATACATGTGTCTGCGCTCACATCCAAACAGGGCCTGTGTCACTGCATCAGGCGTGGCTGGAGTGGACTGTGTGGGACTGTTCTAGGTTGGGGTGTGGCCAGACGGCTCTGCCTGTCAGGGGGTATAAGGTCCCTATGTGGCCATGCTACACACATCAGCCCTTTGGGCACGTCTGCCCATATGATCCACCCTCCATGGCCATGGTGGTGTACCTTAGTGATCTCTTCCTTCTGCTTCCGGATGTTGCCCACAATCTCCAGGATGCGCTGGGTATAGGCCAGCCGGGATACGTCTCTGGGCAGGGTTTCCAGCTCGGACACCTAGGCAGGGACACAGCAGACAGTCCTCCAGGACTCACAGCCCACCCACTCTGAGCCATCCAGGGCCCTGGCATAGGCCTTACCAGCTGCTTATAGACCTCCTCCTTCCTGCGGGCCTCCTCAGCAGCTGCCCGGACACTTTGGTGCAGCTCCTGGATCTCTGCCAGCCTTCGAGAAGATTCCAGCTGCCAGGACCGCATGGGTAGAGGGCAGTGAGCAGAGCACGAGGATGGCCCCTAGGGAGGGACCAAACCTACCCCACCCACAGCCCAGGACCCTACCACCTACCTCTCTGCAATCCTGGAGCTTTCGGAGGTGGCGGTATTCAGCAAGGAGCGGGACCCGGTGCTTTTCCCACTGGCCCGCCAAGTGGATAACGCGCTGGGCACTACTCTCTACTACGAGCTGGGGGTGGTGGTAGAAGGGTACATGACACACAGGTTGGCCCCTTCCCCCTCCGACCCTCCCAGCCAAGCCCTAGCACCAGTCCCACCTGCAGCTTGGCGAGGTTGGCAGCCCCATCCGGCAGCAGCTCCACCGCCCGGCTCTTCAGGCGCAGGGCCTGCTCCCGTTCTGCCATGCTGAGCTCACTCTGCCGACACTCGTTCTCCACCTGGCACCCCAAGACCCCCACTCCAAGTCAGTGGGGGAGCTCGGCCACACACCACAATCCCTCAGCCCAACTGAGCCCGAAAAGCCCTGGCCTAGCCCAAGCCCCCACAGATGACGACCTACTGCTCGGGCCCCTATCTGCTTCTTGACCCCCTCCTGATAATGACAGAGACCTATAAGTAGCGATGGGCACTCACAGGCCCCTCTGACCCCTCTACCTCCACACTGACCCCCAGGATCCCTGACAAGCCCCACAAGCTCCTGCCTGTACAGACCCATCATGCCCCACAGATGCCTAGAGATACACACCTCCTGATTCTCAGACATCCACAAGGCCTGACTGATGCCCACAGTCACCTCTCACCCCTACAGGCCCACCAAGCCCCCCAACCCTACATCCCCCTCTCACCTCCACCGATTCTCCTGAACCCTCAAGAGCCCCCACGCATCCACCCAAAGGCCCCCATGGACCCTTCTGACATCCGCAGACTTCTATAGAGTACCTCTTGGCCCCCTCGAATCCCCCTAATCCCTCTAGGCTCGACATGTGATGCGACCCTGGGCCACAGCCCCTCCCCCACCCCCACCTGAACGAGGCCGATTCCCAGTGTCTTCATGTTGGCTTCAACCTCTTCAATGTTGCGGTTCATTCCCTCCAGCTGCTTCTGAAGGGCCTCCAGCTCCTGCTCTTGAGCAGCCCGTGTGTCCTGGGAGGAACACGCCAGTCAGGGTGGGGGTGTCAGGCCCAATAGACAGGCAAGGGCCCAAGACACCCCCCACTCACCTGTTCAGGCCGACGGGAGGTGGCCAGCACATCTGACACCTGGGCTGCCTGGGCCTCAGGCTCCTGGGGGAGTGAGAAGGGAGCATCCTGGCTTTGGGGGAAGGCCTCGCTCCTCACATTCCAGCCTCAACACCCAACCACAAGCCCCTCCCAGCACCATACCCACGCCCACTCAGCTGCTGACGGCTGTCAGACTGTGATTGTATGAGTATCAAGGCATTCTCTACGGCCTAAGACTAGAGTGTTTGCTCATAAAGAAATCTCCCAGACCTGACACAGCTCCTGCTCACCTGCCCCGCCTCTGAAGCCCCAACTGCCCATAATAAGTATGAGGGCCCCTCTGGGTAACCACCCAAAGAGAAAAGATATGCCCAGAGGAAACTTCCTGGGGAAGGCTGGAGTTTGCACAAAGAGCACCCCTTCACCTTTATAGGGTTCCTACCACTCCACCCTTTCTCCACTGAAGTCCCTGAGAAGCCAGGGGAGGCCCTCTGGGTACCCGCCCCAAATGGGGAGAGGGCATGCCTGGTGGGAACACAGGCACCTGTGTGGATAAAGTATGGTGTTTGTATATAAAGCAACCCTCTGGCCAGCTTTGGCATCATCAGCACGCCCCATGTCCACTCAGGCCCACCCACCAGATGGAAGGTGAACTTTTCTGAATGCGTGAAGCGGGAGCCCTTGGGAGTGCCAGTCCTGGCCCCAGCTCCCCAGGCCTGCAGCAGCTCTCCCAGGTCTCGGGATTGTGGGGGTGGCCCCAGCCGGCCCCAGGTCTGGCGCAGATGCTCAGCCAGGTGCTTTTGCAGCCGCTGCCGCTGAGCCCGTGTATCCTCCTGGAAACAGAGGGTGGGACAAATGGGAGAGTATAAAGGCCTACCTGGCACCCAAGACCTTGCCTCCTCCAGGGAGCCACCTGGCAAGGTGCTACCGACAAGTCATACCCACCCTCCAGCCTCTTCCACCAAGGGGGTCCCCAGACCCACTCTCCTGGCCAACCGGTCTGGGAGCTCCCCAAGGATAGGGTCTCCTCTTCCTCACAGCCACACTTCTCCCCACCTACTCACTCCTCACACTGGAAGAGAATGTGGGAATGTGGAGAAGTAAGCCTGCAACCCCCAAATCAGAGAATGACATGGAAAGGATATGTGGGGAGAGAGCAGAGACAGAGTCAGAGGTGCTGGGCAAAGAAGAGGGTGGAGGCAGGGAGTGGAATTGAGAGAGAACGACAGAGGGAAAGAGATGGAGAGAGAGGAGAAGGAGGAGGAGGAGGAGGAGGAGGAGAATAACAACAACAACAGCAAAGGCAGTTTTGAGACAACT